ATTCCGAATGGAACAAATGGTCAATTATTTCGAACGTTACAGGGAAAATTAACTGGCGACAAAACAAGTATCGCAAGTGCTTCAGGGGAAAAATACGAGGACAGTAACCCAAAAATCAATCAAATATAAAATCCAAAACCATTAGTTATTAATTAGACCAAAATGAATGGCACCAATGCGGGAGACGTCAATCACCCAGAATGCTCATAAAAAGGTTTGCAAATACAAATGTCCAGCTCGGAGTAAATGAAAATAGAGTTTCGGCTCCTGACATGACACACAACCCATATGTAGCTCACACTTCTACCGTGATCTTCCAGTCGACTTTACCACTTGCATTTTTAGGTACACTAATGAAATGGACCGTTTCTCACCTGTCTAAAATCATTCACTTTTCAGATAATCTATCGAATGTTGAAGACCTTTTCCGATGAATCTGGAACTCTTAAAGCTTTCCATAACTCTTAGAAGAATCTTCTATTCCTCGAGTACCTGTATCCGTGGACTTCCCTTAACAATTCGTTTTTATTCACTTAAAAGATTAGACACTGGAATTTACTTAAGTGTTATTCTTTAAACCACTGGATGCAGGTTAAAGATCTATATCTCTTGTGACCCCCGCTGTTTTTTCGCTGGGGTCTCAGGTCTAATTTACAAAAATGCTTCAACCTCGTCTGTCGTAATTCCCATTTCCACAGTTTCATTCAATGCTATAATACTTAGTTTCAAATCAGGCCCTGTTCTTTCTGATTCAAATCATTTTGTTCTAGTCGATCTACAGGAATGTCGCTTGCATATACCCACTCGATCAGTGAATCACCTTTTACTCTCAGGTAGATCTCGGAAAAATCACTATATAGTTCTGAAGTAGTACAAATCCTTATCAACGGGGACAAGGTTCTGAGGGATCCTTCAACAAACTATGGTGTTTGAAACTGTAGTTTCGCTTTTGAGCCTTTCAACCCCTTAAGGTTGCCTGTGTTAATTTCCCCTGTAATTGAAAAGCTGTGCGCAAATGCTCAAGATGACTAAAAGAGCAAAATGCAGAAAAAGCTACTGAAGAACATTTCTTCACAACAGTCCCTAGAAGCTCACCAGGTCGTACTTTGATGAACGCTTTGTCATGTTGATAGCCCAGTTTGTTTTCCGCTCGGCATTCCACAACAGAATCTGCCGTAATATTGTGCCGCCTTTCATTTACCACCTGGGATAAAGCAAGCAAAGGGGAATATAATGGCTATTGGTAATGCGTAGCAGATGACCGCCATTGTGTCTATATAAAAAGTTCACGTATAATCATTACAAAAGTCGATACATTTAACCATCGTTCACTCGCACGCTCGCATTGGAGATAGACACTGCTACTTAAGTGGGCGGCGATCATCAAGTGGTTAGGGCCACAACCATACCGACCCCAAAGTTAAGAGTTCGAATCTCGTCATAGTTTCCCAGCTTCATCCATTTAAGTATTCCCGGACAGCACCTGAACGGTTGCGGCCTACCCTTTGCCTGAAAGTTGTTTGTACAAATGCGCATTCAACTAAAGGAATTACGAAGAGTATTGTTATCAAAAAACGTGTTTGTCAAAACCACCCTTGAGTAAATCACGAACTCAATTAGTGTTCAACCCACTAACACGAGGGTACTGAGAAACTACTCTACACTGCACAAATTACGTCAGTCTTTATTCCATCTTTGAAGTGATAAGTCTCCTTGAACCTCGATAACTGATAGCTTTTCTGTGGTGCGTAACGCCTAG